AAAGTTTAATTATAAAAATTGCATTTTAATTGATTGCTGCTGGAATAATTACAGCAACACCTTTCCAAGAAATGGCGACCATCCTATGTTTGTCAACAAAGAATCTTCCTTTAAATTCAACATGCAATAATTGGTTAATTAAGCCAAATTTAGATCCTCATTTGAGAACATTCAAACGCTTGCCTATTCCTTCCTGTCTCTGAGAGGTAATTTAAGAGATAAAAAGCAATCTCCAGAAATACTCTATCTATATACATAAGTATCCAAGAAGAAGAAGAAAAAGAAATACTTCATTTCATAGCTGATCTGGATCTAAGCTTGCTGCTATTGATAAGAACGTAAGCAGAGAGTGAGTGATCACTACAAATCCCTCTCTAATTGGAGCTGGGAGGCCTTCATAAAATATGAACAGACTCCAAGCTACACGTTCGTTTTCTAATATGCAGAACAGATTCAACTGTTGATATTCTAGCAGCACCTCGGTATGAGGACCCCACAGTAACTGTAGCTGTGCATACATGGAAGGAGAGATAAATAATTCATTGTTTTTCAGCCTCTCTACAAGTTTTCCTGCAGCTGCAAAATCCTGCTGCTGTTCTGTGCAGACCTCGGGGTTTCAGGTGTGTGGCTTCTGAACGTCCCTGCTCAGTAGCCCAACACTTCAAGCACTCAAACCTGATGGCTACATCAGCAAAGCCGCAGGGTTCAGTGCTGAACTGAGATTGTTTTAGTTGGTCATCCCTGCAAAGTGGCCTGAGTGTGGCAGGGAGAGATTTACCGAGCTGGTGACTCACCTGCTGCGAGCACCACTCAGCAGGGCTTGTCCCCCAGGTCCTGAGCTTGAGCGCCACCCCCCCCGATGGCCTGACGCTGCCAGGGCTCACCTGGGGACTGCAGCCAGAGGCCGAAAGTGGGAGTCCGCACCACAAACGAAATAAAGCTACAGAGCAGGGGCTAAACAGCTCGTGTTCCCCAAGGAGCTGGGCTGTGCGCAGGGTGGGGATGTGCATTACACGCGCACGAACGGAGGCTGAGATGAGTAAGAGAAAACCCCCCCCGATGGCCTGACGCTGCCAGGGCTCACCTGGGGACTGCAGCCAGAGGCCGAAAGTGGGAGTCCGCACCACAAACGAAATAAAGCTACAGAGCAGGGGCTAAACAGCTCGTGTTCCCCAAGGAGCTGGGCTGTGCGCAGGGTGGGGATGTGCATTACACGCGCACGAACGGAGGCTGAGATGAGTAAGAGAAAACTACTCCCAGCACGGTCTGGCTGGAGTAAGCAACCTCTCGTGTCTCTGCTGCCCACAGGACACAGTGCTCACGTCCACTGCGGACCTCCCAGGGACAGGGATTTGCAGCTCTCTCCTAAGACTCAGACCTCCTGTGTCCGTGCATCCTCTTCCCACCCCTCTCAGCTCCGACCTGCAGCATCAGCCCTGCCGCTGAGTGCAGTCAGTCACGGCAAAACCCAGCAAGGCAGGGTGTTGCTACCGACTGTCTTGAGGCCACAAAGCTCTTCTCCAAACATGGCTGAAGACAGAACCTACAAACATGCCTTTAAAGCTCATCAGAAGCATTTTGCTCTGCTACCTCACTGTGCAAACCTTGCAGCTACGCCACACTGTCACTTTACCCTTTTTAGTCACCTGGCATTGCTACGTACCTCTGCGGAAGGAAGGACTCTGAGTGCACCTGCCCCCTGAACAATTCCTTCAATGAAACAGCACACAGCTATAAAGTCTCCTCACCTTTAGTCAAGAACCCTCAAAGCAGCAGGTGTGTGTTTTCATACCAGGAAGCCACACTTCCTCACCTTTAGTCAAGAACCCTCAGAGCAGCAGGTGTGTGTTTTCACACCACGCACCCAGCTGCAAACACAGAGCCTGTTCATTGCCAACTATTCTGTGGGATGAAATGAATTCAGGAAGATATTTCCGTTGTTGAAATGCGCCCATGTTTCAGTGATGCACCAGCATTCGCAGCAACCACACACACGAAATACGAGATTACTGCACGTTGTATCTACTCCGTAGTTTTTCTTTCTTAATCATTATGATTTGCTTAAAATCATAATCTACTGACGTGTTACACGCAGGGACCACAGGACCCGTAGGTCGATGCTACCCCACACAGAGGAATCCACAATCACTGTGTAACGATAAAAAGTCCATAACTGGAAGCATCAGAAATGCAGAACTTAGTGCTGGGCTGTCACAGCCCAGGGACAACAGCAGCCTCCTGATATTTTACAGATTTATCACTTTCATGGGTATTATTGTTACCAATTTACGATCATCACTAGCACATCATTAACGGCTCCCTGGCGCTGTCAGCTGCGCACAAATGGGTGAATCTCATACTGTAAATTCACCCACGGTCACACCAAAGCTTGCTCATCCGAACTGGTAAGCAGCTACATGTCAGGCAGAGGTAGACAGTGTCACAGCTGATGCTGAGATCCGTTTTGCATACAATCTCCTTAGACAGGGTGCTGTCAATTTGCTGCAGTTCATCCTGCCACATCATCATCATCACCCCGTAACCTGCCCAACAAGGTTTTTTACTTCTGCCGACACCACTGATTCTTAATATATATTCTGTATTTTGAACGATGCTGCTTCAGGCACTTGCCATAAGGACTACATTTAGCACACGAGGCTGGATCCTGGCACGAGGCAGCACTTGCCATGGGGCTGGGACCTACTGTTGGAGACCCTGATAGGGGAAGCACCAGGTTTACAGTGTCTAAACACCCTTGACTTCACCATCAGAGAAACAGCTAATGCCAACGACGAGGAAACGCTGTGTTCTCTATCTCCATGGGAACAAAAACTGGTACTTTTAACTAGTAGCATGGCCAGTCTTTTCTCAGAAGATAAGGACCACTGCGTAGGCAGGGGTTTTATTCTCTCTAAATAAACAGATCTTTCTGCTGATATCTAGTCTTGGCAACCAGGAAGGGAATTTGCTGGAAGATGAGGAAGGAGACAATTCCTGACAAAAGTTTCACTCCAGCCCTAGAGTACTAAAATAAGGTCTCCCAACAGCCTGGTTTTTGGGTTGGCTTTTTTTTTTACCCCCCTAGGGTACATGGAATAACACCTTCTTTTGTGCTTACAAAACAAATGATGCCTTCCATAGTCTGGAAGAACTTAGGAAGTTTTTAATTATAAGAAAAGAAAAATGAGGACAAGGGAAGTTGGACTGTGCAGAGTGCTCTGCAGGTCTGATCTAGGACAATGTGCCCTACATAGAGCTCAAATATAACATCCTCTGGGAGGCTGTCTTGCCTCCATTCAGCTTTTGTGAGACCACCCCCGCCCCCGTAGTACTAATGACAGATTTCTGAAGGATAACTAGGAGCGTGGTCTTGCTATCAACATTAATGCTGTAAACAAAATTATTAGTGGCAGGCATAGAGAGGGAGGGAAAACTATGTGCAGATCGAGAATTTATTCTAGTGATATTCTTGCAGTTTCTGCTTTCTTCCTGCTATCAGCACTGAAATAGCTCATCTCCAGCCACAGTCAGCAACTCTACCCCAGGTGGGTGATGCTTTCCTTTGATAGATACAAGGTCTGTCTTTTTTCTTCTACTTGTCTAGTTTTCCTGCCAAGGAAGTGCCATTGGACTGAGCTGAAATAGTTGCTGTTCCATGATGGAAACCTTGTAGTTGGCAAACAAAAGGATATTAAGGAAAACAGAAAATCTTTAGATGTGCCATTAGATGTTCCAATGAAAGTGAGGCCCATGTCATGCTGGCCAGGAAATTCCCGCAATCTTGTATTTGCAAGCCCTCCAACAGAAGAAAAATCACAACTTTTTTTTTTTCGTCTTCTAGGAGCCTTATTAATTCTCCTCCTGCACATTCCTGATTCTTTCTGCAGGAAAGCGTTTTTACCATCTGTGTATTTCTTAGCAGAGAGGACAGTTTATGTCCACCTCTACCCCACTCTCCACATGACTAAGCTGCAGGGAGGATGTTCCCGTGAATCGAAAGGATACTACGGATGCAAGCCAACAATGATCCAACAAGCTCTACAAAGGAAAGGGTTCCTCCAGTCCTTCCTGACACTCCTCGCACACACGCACAAGCTGAGAGTGAAAGCCGTGTCTGACACCAGGTCGAACTGGGAAATTCTCCGTGCATCGCATGCCGGCAGCGTGAGCCCCCCATGCATGGCACCGCGCCGCTCGCTCCAAGGGCAGCAAATGCTGCAACAGCCCCTACTGCAACCACAGGGCTTGGTTATGGGGTTTGTTTTCCCATGGTTCCTTCCTGGTCTTGTGTGTTGCTGCTAATCTCAGCATTACCTGGCAAGCCATTTTTTTCTTCTCCCAACTATATCACACAACAAGAACAGCACAACGAACGTCCTGTGCTTTAGCAGGGTACAGGTACACACTAGGACCGACTCTATGGTGCAAATTCGGTCTTTAATATGACTTTTTAGAGCAAATGATTTCCCTGGCACTTGAAACCAGAACTCCTACCTCTCCGTCACTATTCAACATGCCCCTTATTGTGGATCTGGACTCCGCTTGCACCAAGCTGCTGTTTTCTGCTAGGTCTTTCTTAAATTTCAAAGACAGATGGCTAAACTGGGACTGGAGAAGAAGTTGTTCACACGAAACAGAGGCTTTGGGTGCACTTTGTTGTACATCACAGCTACAGGAAATATGGGAATGGAACCTCAACATAACGTGTCTGGCAGAGGTTAATGAAACAAGAGGAAATTAATTATTGGGGGGTTTATATCACTTTGGAAACAACGAAAGGGAAAACGCAAGACTTGCTGAATAACTGCAGCACTACCTCACCCCTGTGTCTTAGCACAAACCATAATGATTCAGAAGTCCTTTGCCCATGTGTTCGGGGTTGTCTTGCACGGACCCTAAAGGAGTTGCAGGTTTGGAGCAAGACGTCTCGTATTTCAGACAAAAAACACCAGTCGGGAATAAAGAACCCGGAGTAAGAGAGCACAGCAAACGTTACTTACAGGTGTATGTCATTTCAAAGCTGTCGCTGATGTTCACAATGTCGATCTGGGGAAGGAGCTTAGGGGGTTCCGTGAGCTGAGACAACGCAAACCTAAAAGCCGCATGTTCCTGGGACTGCTGATTAGGAAATAACCCCCCTGGGGAGAAAAACAGAACAAGAAATGTCTTAAGCACACCCATATTAGCAACCTCTTCAGTCCAAAATATTCCTGCAAGAGCAGGCTACAGCTTCCCAGCCCAGGGAGTGCCTTTACACTCCAAACCCCCCATCAGAGAAGACCTGGGGGTTCGTGCCCACTGCAGACCGGCTGGGAGGAGGAAACCTCTCCAGGCTGTGCATTATGTAATGCCTGGACCACATACAGGAGCCGTGATGCATCCCTGGGCCCAGCAGCCTGCGGGGCCGGGATGAACCGTGGGGTTTGGCTCCACATCCACACCCCCCAGAACTTTAAGAAAAATGGAAGCACTGCCAGAATTACCTCCGTAAAGGAGGAATGAGTCTCTCCTCCTCCTCCTCTCACCTGTAATTAGGCTCAGTTTAAACCCTGCTGACGAAGAGGAGGGGTTTGCTCTGGAAAGGGGGGCAGGGGTTCCCCCACACTACGGGACTCTGGGGTATGAGGCCCACTGGCTCAGCCCGGCCCGACAGGCACAGTGCTGGGTAGGTGGGGACGGGGCTGCAAGAGCCAGAGTGATGCGTGACCCATGGCCATAGCACCTGCTGCTACTGGAAGTTTGCTGCATGGAAAAAAATTAAATATAACAGGTGACAGTGGCCAAACTCCAAGAGGGCAGGAGATCAAAAGCTTGGCTCTCAAAGGGATCGATGAGAGCAGAACTACAGACAAACCCAGAACCACAGGTTGATATAAATAGGATAGGAACTGGGACCAGACTGGACCCAGGCTAAAAGACCTTCTCCCCCCATGGACCTGGAACAAAGTGGTGTGATAACCCAGCCCTAGGAAAAGTTTCCTGATGCTCCCCCACCCAGCAGGAAACTTGGCTTGTGGCAGATCCCTTGACAGCCCACAGAAAGATGCTATTAAATTCAGACTGTCTTGTAATCCATATGCATTTAAAGTGAGCAGTTGCTGGCATTTTACAGGTAAAGAAACAAAGCACTTGGCAACTGGATGGAATTAAAGAAGCAGAAAGTATCAGTGCCCACCCTGCAGGGCAGAGGGCTGGGAAAGGAACAATGTGCAGAGACCTGCTATCAACGGCACTTGGCACGTCTTTAGTAGAGAGGGCATCTCCCTGTTGCATGGAAAGGGTTATTTGTGCATGAATATCCCTCCCACCGGCCTAATCATGGGTGTCAGATTGATGAGATGCTAGTAGCCGAGTTAACCAATTATATGTGTTTGTTTGAAGGGAAAAATCTGGGATATTGCACAGATTTGGGGTGAAGAGGAGGCAGGAAAGGAGGGAGACAGGGATGCAGCATCAACAGCAATAAAAGCACCAATTGTGCAGCTGGACTCAGCCAGGAGTTGCCTGAACTTAGTGGATTGGCAATTGATTTGCATTGTAAAAGGAGGAGAGGTGAGAAAGAAAAGCGGCATGCAAGGGAAGAGAATTTGGATGCTGGTAACAAATCATCAGCAATAAAGATCATTGGGAGATTAATAATGAACCTGGGGAGGGAAGGAGGGAGAGGAGCACTGAGAAGTTACAGGAAGGGAGAAGGGAATCAAACAGGCACTGCTGGTGCGCAGGGGAAGCAAGTGGCATGAAACGAAAAGAGACTTCAATGCAAAATCTTCCTCCAATAGCTCTGCCCTTATTCTTTAGCAACAACAACAGAGAGCGCCTGTTCGTTACCTCTCGTCCCAGTTACCTACAGATGAGAGCATCCTCACAAAAATGTATAATGCAACCTCTGATTTTGCAAATGCAGCAACGCACAATGGCAGCCCAGGCATCTATCAGAGCAAGAAACAGATATTTTTTTCCTGCTTCCTCCATTTCAGAGGCACTTTTCTCCCTTTGTGTTGGTGTGTGTGCAGGCATTTATTCCCCATCTTCCCCTCCCCCAAATTGATCCATCTCTGTTCTTGCAAAGCGGGTACCGACACACAAATCCAGCCCTCGCGGTTCACCCCCTCGCGCTCTCACACACACAAACCTACACACACACAAACCTACACACACACATTTTGCCTTTCAAAGCAAATGAATGGGTCAGTTTTCCCCCACCGCCCCCTCTCCACCCCTTCCCACTCGCCGGGGAACATCGCTCCCGAACATCCCCCAGGCTGGGCACTCACCTATCTGGATGTTGTTGGGGAAATTGGCCCCTAACACCGCCCCTAGGAAACTGGTGCAGAAGAAGGCAAAAATGTGCTGCATATTCCCTTTTGCATTGGCGAAAAAGAAGCCCAGTTCCGAGCATAGGTTTGATTTTTCCCCGCTCTGCGCTCTTGAGCCGCCTCTCGCCTCCCCTCCGCGGCGCCTTCAGGGCTGCGCGTCGCCCTCGCTCGGCATCCAGCGCGGAGACTGCTGCTCCGCTCCGCCCGGCAGCAGGATTAACTCAGCCCCGTGGGAAAGGGAGAGCCCGCTCCTCATCCACATCCCTCCCCCGCCACACACCGCACACGCACACCCCCACCCCCGGCGCTTCCAGCCGGCTCCTTCGCCTTCTCCCAGCTGGAGCCCAGCAGCTGGGTACCACATCCTCCCGGTTATTCCCCCCGGGGGGCTTGGCTGGGGTCTCTAAGGGTGATTCCCACCCACCCCCAAATTCCCGGCTTTCCCCCTCAACTTCTCTTGGCAGGAGCTAGAAGGAACCTGCAAATCAGTAGGTGGCAAACTCCTCTAGAGAAAGGGCTTCAACTCCTCTGCTCATCACTTCCCGACCCGGGCTCCCACCCCTGGGTCCAGGCGGCCAACAGAGCAGTCCCTACAGCCTGGCTCGTTAGGACAACAAAGAGGGTCGTATCCTGCGAAGGTGCCATGGCAGGAAGGATTTCAGATCCCAAAGGAGGAAAAAGGAACCCCGCACCGTCACCTTTCTCGTTGATTTTTCCTAACCTGGGGCATTTCACCCTGCGCTTGATGCGGAGGAATCCGTGCCTACCCGCACCATCAGTAGGGCAGGCTTCTGAAATCAGGGGACTGTTTTAGCCTGGATCATCACAGGAGATGTTCTGTGGCAGCTCTAGTGAGGTTGGAGCTTATTTGACCATAAGGACCTTGCTCAAAAACAAAAGGGGTAAAAAAAAGGGATAAAAGTAACAACAATAAAACCCAGTTCCTAGGCACAATTTGGGATTTAGATATATTTAAAGAAGAAGTGCTGTGAACACAGAGCCATAGGCACCTGAGAAAGGAGAGAAAATTCACTCATTCCCTTCTGAAACACAAAGTCCCAAATCAAACTTGGGGCCTTTTGCGCCAGAACCTGGATACCCATGTCCACGCACAGAGATTCTGCCCTTACTGTCTGCAGCCTGAATACACACGGGGGTAAACAGCAGAGAGGAAACAAAGGGGAGAAAAAAAGGATATTTGTGACTGAGTTAGAAATAGGACTCAGATACCCTGTGTCCTGGTTTGGTGTAGAGACCTCGCCCTGGCCCCCACTCCCCACCTCTGACAGCACGTGGCTGAACTCGCAGAGCATCGAGCAATGGTGACCGATGTTTAAAGGTCAGGAATTGCTCCTGCACAAGGGACAGCTGGACAGACGAGGAGTCTGCAGAGTGGGACAATTGAAATGGGATGTGAGCAAAGCCTACAACATCTGCAGGAGCACGGAGACATTCCTTGTTGGCCACAGCATCCAGGTGTGACATCACTTTATGGGGACAACACTACTCTCTCTATCCTCACGCCTTCTATGAACAGAATAGTCTTGAGAACAAAGATAAAAGCATCTTTTTGCTGGGAGGTCCTCTACTTCCTCTGAAAGAGATTTACTACAAGTTTGGTTCCCCTTCCTGCCACCTGCGACAGAGTCCTCAGGTAGAGCATCGTCGTACAGAGTCATCACCACAACCAAGCGCGACAACGACTGGGAAATCATCTCGCGTGGCCATGGGCACAGGCTCTGGGTCAGTGAGAACGGACCATAATCTTTGTGCAGTCCTTCATCTCTGCAAATAAGAGTCTGGAAACTTTAACCTCTTAGACATTTTTACAGATCTCACTGTGACTTCCGGGATGACAAAATGCTTAAACACCCACAGAAACGCCAGACGAGTCACAGGGTCTCAGCACTGTAATATCTTGCATCGGGGAGAAGTTGCACTGATGCCTGCAACTTTGTGGCCTCTTACAAGGTCAATTTTCCTCTGCAAAAACAGAGCACAGAAGACTGGCATCTTGCTTATGGCGAGCAATAAAACATCCTTCTGGGATAGAGTGTTTTTTAGCCCAAGAGTCCAAGCTACCCTTGGCTGGGGCAATGACTCTTGGTGCCAGAGACCGCAGGTTCATTAGAGCAACCATTCGGGCACTCAGGAGTCAGTCACACGCGGCCAAAGGGTGCTCCTACCCCGTCTCACTGCCTGGGTGACGGGCATCCCAGAGTCACAGTCAAGCAAAACAAGATTACATCTGGTGTTGACAGGTACCACCTTCATCAGACTTTCATCTCACTCCTTGTATAATTTAAGCAATACTGATTTGAGGCTAAAATAACCTGCTGATAGTTTTTATGGGCTTTTGCTTTCCATCCAGAATTTAATAGGAACAGCTGCATTTGTAATCTGAACAAAGGCACTGAAGGATATCTAGCACAACAGAAAGATGCTAGCACATTCTGAAAACTCCCAAACAACCTATCTGATAATAATAATGGTAGCCATAACAATAAAATACTGTAACAGTTCACAGAGAGCTTGCACAGTCGCGTTAATTAATAATGCTGCTTCTGTCTATAAAACTCTCAGAGTGCAGGTGGCTTAACAAGGAAAACCTCACTGCAGCGTAACAAGATAAGTAGTAATAAGATCATTATTTTAAGAAGGTATTCATTTCCTTTTTCCCTATAGATAACAGCATTTTATTCAGAGTTTGTTAGCACAAGGATGTTAGGAATTAACTCTAGCTGCTCTGAAGGTTCTTTAAATCAACATCAACGCAATATAGCTCTGAACTTTTGGCTAAACACCGAACTAAGTCTTGGGAAACTGATGAAACTCTTCGATGTCACAAAAGTGGTCACAACATAAAGACACATCAATCCACCAGTCTTCTGAGAGAGGATCCCAACTGAATTATCTAGATTCCTAAAAACAATTGAAGGAGCTTATTTCTCCTTTCAGATTTCACAAAACAAAGAAAATAATTCAGTACAACGTAGGAGCATATTGTACAGTGTCATCTTAACCAGGGGCAACAAAAAATATCAGGCAGTGGAGTTTTGAAGACCTATATTTTGTCTTAAAGTGCATAAGTCATGGGGTGGGGGGGACAAGCAGGCATCTGATTAATAAAGAGCACCTTGATTAATAAAAAGCACCTAACAAGGGGTGCATCTCACATGGGAGCAATGCTTGCAATTGGGTGTAACGAATCAGGCAAGTACATGCAAAGAAAAAAGAAAAGGCTTTCCAGTTTAAGGTAAGAAATGGTATAAAGGAATTTTTAAAGGGTGTAGCTGGTTCACTTAAGACCTTTGTCAGATAAAAGAATAAGAAAATACATCAGAGGTACTGTTCCCATTGCGCTTTGCCTGCAGCTGACCTTGCTGTACTGGGTGAGAACCTTCGTTCTGCTCCAAGGTTTTGTACGCCAGAGAATTTTGTGTCTGAGGAGACTGTCTACCACCTTCCTCTTTGCTCTGCTTTTGCAGGATGTGAAGTTTGTCCACACGAGCAGAATGGTCTGCCTTCGCTATCAGAGCTTTTGTTTCCAGGATAGGAAATAAGCAGTTGTTGCAGCAGATATATTTCTGTACCAGAAGCCTTGGAAAAACAAAGGACTCATTCAGATGCAGAAGCCTCCAGCCTTGAAAAATGAGGAAATCAAGAGAACTCGGCATCCATCCGACCTCCCAGCAGAATTATTTCCCCCAGTGCCCACTGTTTTACATGATGCTCCTGAATGTTTTTAAAGAGGCTATAGAAATACTACCTTTTCTGAAATCCCTTTTATTTTCTAGCTGGACAATCTCTGTAGGAAGCATTTGATAAAGAGCAAAATGTAATTACAGTGATTAATTTAAATAAACTCCAAACAACACACTCTTGTATGGGTTTTACAGAGCCCTGGCATAAATGAATCCTAATGGAGCCACATGCATTTCTCTCCCTGCCTTGTCCACCTCAATTTTGTTATTTTGGATAATGCATCTCTCAAGGAATGATCGTAGCACCGGTGCTGAGAGGACAGACTCCAGAAATGCAAAATTGAGGGAAATTTGGAAGCGATCAAAAAGGAAAAGGGGTGAGACAGCTCCCTCCATTCACAGCACGACGCACTGGGAAGCCTGTGTGCAGATAGCCCTCGGCACACCTACACCCCGCAAACATATGCACAGTCACTGGTGCCACCCACACGAAAACGACACCGATAGACGGGGTTAGGAAGCGTACGTGCGCGGTACGTGCACACACGCCTGCAGGCTTGCCCAGGCGGGAGCGGGCAGCACAGCTCAAGGGGGTTTGCTGGCAGGCAGAGCTGCTGCAGAGGGGCAAGAGCCGCCCTGCCGCCAGCTGCGCTCCCATACTGGTTTCTAAAGTGGGTTTCAACCTGCACAGGGATTTCAGACATGCAGGGACAGGGAGCCAAGACCTTAGCCCTTCACTCATGCATACTCCGAAAATTCCTATTGTAGAAACAGGGTGACTTCAGGCTCTTGATAGTCATTTCCATGCGTGTCTACATAGTTTATTTTACATCAGGCACTTGCTTCAATCTTTTACACCTGGAAGGTATTATTTACACCACTGAAAAATAACATCTGCAAACAAGTCACCAAATAATTTTTTTGGAAGAATCCTTTACAAAAATAGCCTCAGCAATGTTTGGCAGGAAAAAATCTCCCCCATCAATAAGTCAGGCCTGAGGTGCCTGTGGCTCCTTTACATGGCAGCTGGAGCTGTCAAACAAAAGGCTTTGTCAACCCAGAAGCAACTCAGAAGTTAAAGGAAACATGAACTTCATGCCTTTCCAGTGTGCACTAAAATGCAAACATGTGGGACAGGGACAATCCCGGAGATGAGGATAGCTCCAAGCGGATCCTGACTGATGCCAAACATCTGGGGGCTGCTGATGTTTTAAGGTCACGAGATATTGTTTCTTAATTTACTGACTTCTGATGGGGAAGTCTGATGTGAGCTGAAACTGGGGAACATCAGTTTTTTCCACAAACTGTACAAGAATGTGCTTCGGTCGTCATCCTGAGCAGATTATTACCATATTTATAAGAAATGACTTCTTGCTCACTGTGGGATAATTAAGTAAGTAAATGGACTGGAAGATAAACCCATCAATCAGAGGGGCAGTGAAAACACTCTGCACTCTTCAGCCGGAAATTCATGAGCAGCAGCTGGCAAAC